CACAACCCTACTGCCAAAAACCCTCTTAAGTCCTCAATAGATAAAAAATGAAAAAAGACAAAAGAAAAAACCCTTACCAATAGGTGTGACAGATGATTTGTACATAATATTTCAAAGAGCATTTAATTTTCTATGCAATGCATCATTTGTTGGAGAAGATTATACTTCATTCAACATTACGCACCTATCAATATTATCAACATATACGTCTTATGAAATTTGTATGGTACAATACCCCTTTAAAACAAGGTGTTGGCAGATGACTTAGACTTATGTTACAAGTGTTCTTCAAAACTTGCTTAAATGTCTCCAAAACCATATCAAAAGTCTTGATAGAAATTAAAATAGAAATAGTTTATTGAGTTTGTAAGCAAGACAACAGAGGGTTGCGATTTGCACCTTGCATTAAAGCGAGATCTCACGTTACACCTCAGAGCATGTTGATTTGTAAGGCATTTGATAATGGGAAATTCCTAAAAATTTGTTGTAGTGCGATCATGATATCTCTTGGGTCAGATACTTTTTTGATGATTCGTGTAACACCCCACATGATACTATCTAGAATCATATCATGTAAAGCATTAAAAATTTGGTACAGAAACAACATCGTCTAAATGACATCCAAAATGTACTACACTCATGTACATAATACATAAGAGATAATACATCAGATGTAAAAAATAAACTAAGCAGAGAACATAACGAAAGACAACCATCAAACACCAAAGCCTTTGACCTTCAGGTCTTCTAGCAAATCCTCCAGATTCTACAACATACCTAAAAAGCAACAACATGATTGGGGTGAGTTTAGTAAATCTCAGTGGAGTTCCCTATCTTATGGACTCACTCGACTCTATAGGGATCTTATACGACATGATGCTTATGATCATTCAATCCCACTTTACGTGTATACACTCACACGGTGAATCATGAAATCAAGAATCCATAAGGTCTCGCATCATATGGGAACATAACAATACTGGGTCCAAATAACCCCAAGATCTACATAACTTGGGAAATCCACAACATAGCAGCTTTTCCCGCCCAATCCCATGCCTTAGACTATGGGCACGAGTCACAGATATCTCTGATCAATGATGAATGTCTTTCCCCGACAAACACCTCTTACATGGGTTGAGACACGAGTCACAGACGTTCATTTCGAGTGGATCATCTTTCCTCATCAAGCACCACTTACATGGGTTGTATTATAAGTCACAGACTCCTACACTATACAGAATTGTTTCCCTAGTAAGCACCTCTTACATGGGTCGAGACACGGGTCACAGACCCATCCCTGATGGATCATCCTTACCTGGAAAAACCGATTACATGGGTCAAGACACGATTCACGTAAATCCATCTTCTGGTGATTCACATTTCTCGGTTACTACTTTACATAAGCCTCGAACACGAGACAAGTATGAATAAGGATTATTCAGGATTACGTAACTACTCTCGACAACTAAATTGTCGTGTTGTTTCTTATACAAGGCCCAACTAGACTCACCATGAGTCCATCGTCCTACTTCCACACTAAATAAGGCATTATCGGAGATAGAACCATTCACTTGTAGTGACTACTTATTCATGGGTACATATTAAGGTACCATTCCATATTTGAGTACATAATCTAAGTTAACTCACATTCATTTTAGAACCCAACTAGTGTTTCTCCATCACAGCTAAATCAATCATGATTCTGCTACAATCATAACCCAATAAGGGTTTACGTTATGATTCAACCAATAATGCCAATAGGGTGTTACACACACTTTATAATATACAGTCAATCATTAGGAAAAACATATATCTTTTCATAACTCATGCCAATAACGCCAATAGAGCATAACATTTTCTTAATCTTATAGGTTAGATTAGGGAACACATTATTGTCAAGGAATATATATTTTAACAATGCTAGAAAGACATTAATGCTCCTATCAAACCATTCATAGTTTGTTTTAGTGTATGATTTATGTTTAGGGTGATGATTCTTATTTCTGCTAAAAGAAGAAAAAATATATTTCTCAAGAATAACTGTTGGCACTTCTTATTATTGAAAAAGGTACTTTTATTATAAAAAAGAAAAATAAAAGAAAGGGTACTCAAAGTTTATTTTTTATTGAATAACAATAACTTTCCCATTTCTCCGATAACTCAGATACCATTATATTCATATTGTATGGAACCTTCCTTAAACAACCGCGATGCGGTTTGGGCAAATTCTACACTAAAAGTCATCCAAACCGCAAGAGAAAAAAGTGTATGGTTCGGTTAGCTTTTATAAATAAAATCGAACTAAACTCAATCAAACCAATGTGATTTAGGTTGGTTCTGTTACTTCGGCTTTTTACAAAGTTTTTATTGAGCCATCATACACATATTTTTGTGTTTAGTCCTTCATACATTATCAAACAACAAGAAAACTCATTATATTTGGACAACAACTTTTCATTTAATATACAAAAATTAGATAAACAAAAGTTAAATGAAAAAAATAAAATAATAGCATAAAACATATCAAAAATATTATATGGAAAAAAAAGAGGAGATAGAGAGTTTAGAGAAAATGAAAAAGAAAGAATATAAGAGATGAGAGATTAGAAAGGAAGATGTGCGATAAAAATGTAATCTTAAGGCTAAAGCATAATAGGTTTGAGTTTGGGTTAGAAGTAGGTAAAATGAAGTTTGAGTTGCAACATAATGCAATTTAATTTGATTTGATTCAGTTTGTAAAATACAAACCGTATACCGAATCGAACCGCGTAGTTTTATTAAAAGATAGCTCAAACACCTAAACCACATGTAGTGTTTTGCAGTTTTGATTTGATTTAATTAGGTTATCAGTTTTCTATTAGGCCAATTCAATTTCCTTAAATATGTTTATAAACACATTGTTAAAACCAATTAGAACATGTTTAGATAAACAACTTATTAAGAGTTTATAGGACAAGTGTGTATCAAAATAAACATTTATGAAAAACTTGCATAAACTATTTTTCTAACAAGATATAATAAATTTTAAATTATTTTTATATGTGATATAAAGTGTTATCATAAGTTATATTTGAGAACTTATAAAAATAAATTCAAAAAAGTTAATGAATAATATTATAAACTGTTTTAAACTCTTTTAAATAGGATCACAAAATTTATGGTATAAGATAAGTTCAAATAAATTCATCTAAAAGACATTTAGTGAAATCTATTATCTAAAATAAGCTAAGCTCAAATGCAACATGAAAGTCCTAAGCCTATTATCTAAAATAACCTACAATTATCTAAGCTCAAAATACAACATGAAAACTATTTTTTGTTTGCTAACATATTGTTTGTTATTATTGATAACAAAGACATGTTCAAAGAAAATTCGGGCTTGTGTTAGAAGTTCAAATGACATTCTTTTTAGAGCATTATTCATTGATGACAAATAAAAAATTAAGCTTGGAGTTTAAACGATTTTCACCATCCACTATTTTAGAGTCATTTTTAAGTAGGATTCAATTTATTTTATCATTTAAAGAAGTTTTAGAGTCAAAAGTGAAGAATCTATGTTTTGAAATTCTTTAGTTATTTTTGTTTTTATAGCACTCATCCTTTTTAACTAGACAAACTATTGTGTTTTATTCCTACCTGAATGTGACAAGAATAGATATGGATGACAATAGGATTAGTAAAATCTTAAAAATTGGTATCAAATTTATTAAATAATTTAGTATTTAACATCAAATCAATAATCAAAACTTAAAATCTATGTGAAACTTGTTCTTGAGTTATTTATCATATAATCAACTCAAACTGTAAAAATAGCCTACTAGTAGCCACAAATTTTAATAATTTTAAGAGGTTTGGAGTGATAGTTAAACACTTAATGATTCTTAACAAGTTTGAGAAAATTTAGCCAGAAATGTTGGGAGTAGATTAGTTACCTAGAGAAGGTTTAGAATATACCTAATTAAGGTCTACTAACTATAGAGAAATCTCGAGATTGTACTTTTAGTGATTTGGAGAGTCTTTCAACAATACTCAACCTTAGGCAGTAGGGAGTGTTAAATACTAAGATTTTTCAACCAAATGTTAAGAGAAAATAAATATTACTATAAATAATATATTTTATGATAAAAAATGTATTTCAGTTAATTAACAATTGATGTCAAATGTTTTAGAACAGGTCATTTTAATTTATTTATTTATTAAATGAAATCTTATTTTTTGATTTTTTAGAAAATTGACAAAAGTATAGTTTAGAGTTTGAGTTTTGATTTTCAATTTATACAATTTTGTATTTTATTTAAAATCAAAATTGCATCCTTATTTTATAAACCGACATGAAATGTTGCTTAATATTTTATTTAATTAAATTGAATCCTACTTTTACCTAAGTTGTTTTCCCTCGGTTTTTTCTACCAATCGATATGAAAACTAAAAAATATTTATTCCAACATCAGAATGTTAAGTCTAATTCACTTTTACATTATTTCTCATTAATTTTTTGCGCCCTAGCAAACGAACGAAACACCATTCTTCATATTCTCCACCTAACCAATGAAACATTGTTCTTCATCTTCTCCATCTAACAAACTGAAATATTATTTTTTATCTCACTACGCCAAAAGTGCTTTCTGGCAACACTACAAAGACAACGCTTTTTACCAAAAGCGCTGCTAAAAGTTTTTAAAAAAAAAGGAAAAAAGCGCTGCTAAAGTATGCCTTTAGAAAGCGCTTCTGAAAAGCGCAACTAAAGGTCATACGTAACAATAGAAAGCGCTGCTAAAGGCCTACATTAGAAAGCACTTTAAAAAAAGCACTGCTATAGGGGGTGTCTAGGTCACACCTTAGACATCACTTTTCAAAAACGTTGCTAAAGGTCTAGCATATGAAAGCGCTTTTTAAGAAAAAGCGCTGTTATAGGTATAGGAAAAGAAAGCGCTGCTATAGGTCATTAATTTCTAAAATTAAAACAGAATTCTTATGTTTTTGCAACCATTATGTTTCTCTTACTCCAAGACGCACCTTTTTCCAACCCTACCAGACCTCCGATCGCCGTATCTTCCTTGGACCATCCGTGTTTCAGTCGCACCACTCTCTCTGTTGTAGCAACCTACGTCTACAGTTATCTCCTTCTTCCTATGTTCGCCTCCAACAGCCGCGCTCCACCATTTTTTAAGGAATTTCTTCATTTTCTTCATTTTCAAGGTTATTTTCATGGTATTTCTTTCTTCTTTTTTTGAATTTCCAAACCATGAAATACATTGTGATGTTGTTGTTATTTGAATTCAATAGAAGTTTGAATGACATTGTTGTAGTAAGGTTCAAGATGATAAATAGTGATATTTGTGGTGAATTTCTTTTGAGTTTTGGTGTTAATTTTGAAGGTTAATGTTGAATGTTAGTGATGATGAAAAATGATAATTACTTTGTTTTTATCGAAATGTTTATTGAAAATGATAATGAAATTAATTATTAATGGTTAAGGGTGAAAATGGTGAATAGTGATGGCATTGTGAATTTATTTTTTATAATCATTGGTGATGTTGTTGATTGAAACTTGAATGACATTTGTGAACTAATTGTTGAATATGGTGATGTTGTTGATTGTTTGAACTTAAGTGGTGAAGTTGTTATATTTGGTAATTTAAATGTGGATTTGATAATTTTGGTGATTAATTTATGCTTGAATTAATGATTTTTTGTGACTTACTTAAGTTAAAATATTAAGTGTGATTGAATTTACGTGTTTGCTATACTTGTTTGTTAGCTATAGTTGTGTGAATAATTAGTGTTTTATTTAGATTACTTAGTAAAAACCATAGATAAAAAATGGATGTCTTCCCATCGATTGTCAAAAGAGTACGATAATGGGGTATTATAATTCGTTAAGTTTGTTGTTGAACACGCCAAAGACCCCAGTCGGATCACATGTCCTTGTTAAGGTTGCTGTTATGGGTATCAGATTGACGTAGTTAAGTTGGAATCACATTTAAAGAGACGTGGAGTTGATCCAAGTTATACATGTTAAATATTACATGGTGAGATAAGTAACGAGAATGTTGATCTTTAGGATTGTCCCAAAATGTTTGAGAGGTCGGTAAGCGATGCAGAGAAACCGTTGTATAAAGGTTGCACTAAGTTCACAAGATTGTCTGTAGTATTAAAGTTGTACAACTTAAAGGCGGGAAATGGATGGTCGGATAAAAGTTTCGTAGAGTTATTAGCCCTTATGAAAGAGATGCTTCCAGATGATAATGTTCTTCCCAATCGAACCTATGAGGCCAAAAAAATGTTGTACTCTATTGGCATGAGCTATGATAAGATACATGCTTGTCCAAATGATTGCATTTTGTTTCGAAATGAATATGCATCATTAAATGAGTGCCCTAAATGCGTTGTCTCTCGATATAAGAAAAAATTGTCTCCAGCAAAAGTCTTATGGTATTTTCCTATAATTCTGATATTTAGACGCATGTTTCTTAGTGAAACTGATGCAAAACACTTGACTTGGCATGCAGATGAAAGAATCATAGATGGAAAGTTTTGACATCCGGCAGATTCACCACAGTGAATGAAAATTGACAATGATTATCTTGATTTTGGAGAAGAAGCAAGAAACCTTTGGTTGACATTATCTACTAATGGAATGAACCCACATGGTTTGCAAAGTATCTCACATTCACATGGTCTGTGATTATTATGATTTATAACCTACCTCCATGGCTATGTATGAAGTGTAAGTACATGATGTTATCTATGTTAACTTATGGGCCTAAACAACCAGGGAATGACTTAGACGTATACTTGATACCTTTAATTGAAGACTTGAATATTTTGTGGGAGAATGGTGTGAAGGTTTATGATGGATACAGGAAAGAAAGTTTTAATTTAAGGGCGATGTTGTTTGGCATAATTAACGATTTTCCAGCATACGGAAACCTATCAGAGTATAACATTAAAGGTCAATGTGCGTGTCTTATTTGTGAAGAAAATACAGATTGGACGCGATTGAAAATTTATCAGAAGAATGTCTTTCTCGGTCATCGTAGATTCTTAAACTCTAATCATCACTATCGTGGGTGGAGAAAAGCATTCAATGGAAATCTAGAATAAGGTAGAGCTCCACCTACATTGACAGATGACCAAATTTTTGAAAAGGTGAAAGATGTGAGTATTCAGTTTCGCAAGCCTTTTGCACATACTATTGTCACACGTGGATGGAAGAAGAGGTCAATTTTTTTTGAATTGCCATATTGGAAGTCGTTGTGTGTAAGACATTTTCTTGATGTTATGCATATTGAAAAAAAATGTATTTGAAAGTGTTATTGGTACGTTACTCAATATATAAGGAAAGTCTAAGGATGATCTTAAAGCAAGAAAGGACTTGATAGCGATGGGAATAAGAAATGAATTAGGACCTTTAAAGAAAAAAAAACGAACATATCTACCACCTGCTACTTATACTCTATCTAAAAAGGAGAAAAAGATATTGTGTAAGTTTCTAAGTGAAATTAAAGTTTCAGAAGGATACTCTTCAGATATTAGAAGACTTGTGTCTATGAAAGACCTCAAGTTAAAGAGTTTAAAGATACATGATTGTCATGTTATAATGGAACATTTCTACAGGTATACGTTCTATTTTGCCATAAAAAGTAAGAAGTGGAATATTACTTATTTTCCATTATTGTTTGTCTCTCCTAAATCATCTTCATTCGATAACGAGTCCGGACTTTCATCATAATAACTATTTTCCTACAAATTAATTATAAATTAAATACAACATCATTAAGGTTACAAACATTATTTATAGCATATGGATTATTACTTCAAACCCACCTCATAAGCCATATCAGTAAGGACAATGCATTGTGCACCCTTAAAAATGTAAAGAATCACCTCAATATCCATGGAACTTTGCAACTACCTACATATATTACACAAAATAAGTTTAACAACTAAGTTCAATATCATGTATAAAACCTAAAACCTTTCAACAAATTGGAACAAAACTAAAATTAAACAAAATCAACATCTTAAGCTCAATCAGTCAAACTTATTCTTAATTTAAAATGGAAGGAATTAATGTCATGCAAAAAAACCTAAAACCTTTCAACATATTGAACACCTTTAAAAAACAAAAACACAATTACTGTTGCATAGTAAAAATCAACTCAAAAGTTAATTATCTTGACATATTAAATGAAAAATAAGTAGATCTTGAACAAACTTGGTCTATTTTTCGTCCAACAAATCAACTCAAATCAAATACGATGACAACGATTTTTGTAAGTATGGAAAGAGGTTTTATTTCCTTCATCGGTTTCAAAGCAACAATGACTCAACAATGATGACAACGACAATAATGATGACTTAACTCAATTTGAAATGCCTTGATGAACATTAACAACCATGTTCAATTCCTTTTGGTAAAGGGGGAGCTGTAACAACAAAATAAATAAATAAAAATATACTTGTCTCTAATTTTTATATTTAAAATAAAAACTATCCACCAGGTCACTATAGATAGGTGGCAGTATTTTACCCTTTTCCCATGGTGAGAAAGGATTGACCATTTCCACCATAAACACCACCACTTCAACCATGTTCAATATAAAAGAATTGACTCACGAACTATCACATCTGCATAATTCTTCAAATTGGCATCCCTGGCATGGTTATGTTCTTAAAGTCTGTTTCTTGTCTATCGTAGTCCAACTCTAATTTTTCTTTATTTCACATTCCTAACTATTTTAGATTGCCTTAATGAAAAATTTAAAGATGAGATGGTATGTGAATATGGAACTATTATCTTGTTATATTATTCTTCTCGTGAAAATTGGAATTGATTTTATGTTGTTGTTGGTCTAGTTGAAAATGGTGCCGAATATTATATTTTTGCAGCCATGTAATTATTCATTCTTTTAAAAAAAATTGATTAAAGTTTGACAATTTTGATGATATTTATTTTTTTGGCATAATTTAAATATTTGATGAGCTTTTAAAGCTCCGAAAAAACCGCCCAAGTTTATTCGGCAAGATACTAGCTATCACTAAAAACCCTAGCATATTATTTGTGGCAACGGTATAAACGGAAGTCTTTATAATTATCGGGAAAATTTGCAAATGTTAATAACCTTCTCATTTTAGCTAGGGGTTAAACCCCTCACTAGTGCAAAAATCCCTTCAAAAAATAAAAAATTGTGTGGGGACAAGTCCACTAGCTAAATATGGCATCACAAATAATTTTCTAGGGGCCTGCCACCTCACTATTAGCTTGGGGCTTACCCCTTGCAAAATGTAATCCTTAAATTACCTTCTGCTGACATGCCAGCATAGGCGCAGACTAGGGGCGTCTTCCAGTATTTTGCTAAGGGTTAAACTCCGAGAAAAAACATATATGTTTTAGTATTTGTGAGGAGTAAAGCCCCTCACAAATAACGCTTATAAATATTTACTTTTATATTTAACTCATATTTTCTAAATACACTTATAAATATATACAAATAATACACTTATAAATAAACTTTGTAAACATTAGAAATATACTAGTCGCAAACCCGTGCGATGCACGAGTATTTTAAAATGTCATATATGTAACATTCATATTAGTATGAAACAAATAGTTAAATGAAAATAAAAAAGTTGTAAATATCACAAAATAAATTTATATATTTTTATATAAATAATCTACTAACTAACTTTGAAAATTCTAGAACACTTCTTTGTAAATCATATTTTCAGTTGCATTTGAATCTTCACCTTCATCATCAGTTATTAATATCTTTAAGTCTATCCTTGAAGCAACTCTAGATAGTGTAACATATAGTTGTCCATGAGAGAAAATTGATTGGTTTAAATACAGTCCAACATGTTTGAGTGACTGGCCTTGACTCTTATTGATAGTCATAGCGAATGAAACAATCAATGAAAATTGTCGACCCTGAAACTTGAAAGGAATTTTTTTATCTGAAGGAGTCAGGGATAACCTTGGAATAAAATTTTTCTTACCAATATTTCTACTAGATATAGTTTTTCCTTCAAACACATACCTTCCCATTTTTGTAATTATCAACCGGGTGTCATCGCACAATCTTAAAGACGAGTCTATATTTCTCAATAGCATGACAAAGACTCCAACTTTCAATCTTAATTTGTGATTTGGAAGTCCAAAAAAAAACAATGGTGTTTAGAAATTCAAAAGCTTGCATATCATCTA